GCGCTTGTTAATGTCCCACAGACATTTAGTATCAGTTACACTATAGGAACAAACTATAATTGGTCTTCTAATCTATCACCATTTACAATGACAACCAATGGTGCGCATGGTAGTATTACATTTGATAAGAGTGGAGTTGGTTTAGTGTACTGTAGTTATACCGACCGTAATGGAGTTCAACAAGAACGAAGCTATAATGTCAATGTAACAGGAGGTACGTATGCGGCCCTGTCCTGAGTGTGCCATAAACTGAATCATTTAGAGGACAAGGGGAATTTAGAACATTCTTCTGTCTTTTCGTCAGCGACCTGGAAACACAGTTTTCTTGTCGCTTACACTGCGGGAGTCTACTTCGCCGTTGGCGACCGATACTTCTCTGTGTATATTCACACAGTTTATTCTCTCGAAAAAGCCACTACTACACAATCACTCCCTGTTACTTCTACATTGTAGAGATCTGATCGGGATTTCGACACACCACTTGATCGTCCCTGGGCGCATGTGCTAAAAAAGAATTCGGCAATGCTACATCGTGTCTCGTTTTCACTTTAAGCAATACATATTTAATAGCGGAAAAGAGGATTGAAAAAAATGTTTTGTGTTATTGAAGCCTCCTAAAATTACTTTTCACTTTGTGTGTAATCCGCGAGAATGAGCGCGTTAGGTGCCAGTAGTTCCTGGCCGATTATTCGTTAAAGACTATTAATGTGGTTCGTCTGCGACAAATGTTATTCGTCTTTCGTACATTTACACAATTTATTTCTCTATCGCTTTATTTAGTTCTTGTTGGTATAATCAGCGGGCCTAATCCGGCGCTTGTCAATGTCCTACAGACATTTAGTATCAGTTACACTATAGGAACAAACTATAATTGGTCTTCTAATCTATCACCATTTACAATGACAACGAATGGTGCGCATGGTAGTATTACATTTGATACGACTGGGGTTGGTTTAGTGTACTGTAGTTATACCGACCGTAATGGAGTTCAACAAGAACGAAGCTATAATGTCAATGTAACAGGAGGTAAGTAGGTGACACTGTTCTGAGTGTGCCATAAACTGAATCATTTAGAGGACAAGGGGAAATTTAGAACACTCGTCTGTCTTTTCGTCAGCGGTCCGGTAACACAGTTTTCTTGTCGCTTACACTGTAGGAGTCTGTTTCGTGGTTGACGAATGGTGGGTCTGTGTGTTATTATTACACAACTTATTCTCCCGAGAAACCCAGAGCCATAGACTCACTGTTGTGTAAGGGGATCCTCTTACATAAGCAACCAAGTCAGATATCCTTGTATAAGATGCTACATTGCATCATATCATTTCATCATGCATTGCATCATCATCTTATTTCGTCAGATTTTCCTCATCTTCAATCGTGGTTTCAGGAATATAAATAGGCTTCCGCGCCAAATAAGAGTCAGATTGTAAGGTTATACTTTTGTGTTTCCTTATCAAAATATTTTCCAATAAACATTTAAAATCATATCAAACTCAGTGATACGAATCAAGCAATCTCTGGTGACAGCAAAGCCTTACAACTATAGTGAATAGGGCCACACAAGACTCACTTACTATTCCTTTTACATTCCAGAGGCCTAGTCAGGATCCTGACAGACCACCCGATCACCCCCTGGGCTAATGTGCTAATGAATAATTCGGCAATGCTCGGTGGCACTCAGTTTTCACTGTAAAGAATAGATATTTAATACTTAAAAAGTAGACTGCAAGAAATATATTCTTTTATCCAAACGTAGTAAAATTACTTCTCACGAGGGAACCGCCCGAGGTAATAAATCGCATTTTGATCGAAATCTGGTGGGTTATGGATTACCGACCATGCTGATTCGGAATATGACCATGGGAGCTGTCCATAGCCCTTCGAAGATCCGGTCTTAGGAAAACCAGATTTTTAGTAACTCCAAAGAATGATCCAAACCGTTCTTAACAATGCAGAACTGTAGCGCGCAAATTTTTGATTAAAATGAACCATCCCCCAGCTTTACACGACCTTTCTTTGCAAAATTATAGAATTTATAAGAAGAGCCCTAAATAGTTCATTGTCAGCTCAAAGCTACAGAAGTAAGAAGGAAAAAATTAATTTAAGGCTTTTCTTGTAAATTCTATAACGCTGCAAAGAAAGGCGGTGTAGAGCTGGGCGATGTTTCATTTTAATCAGAAATTTGCCCGCTACAATCCTATCCTACATTGTTAAGAACGGTTTGGGTCATTCTTTGGAGTTACAAAAAACTGGTTTTCCTTAGACCGGATCTTCGAAGTGCTATGGGCAGCCTTCATGGTCATATTCCGAATCATCATGGTCGTTAACCCATAACCCACCAGATTT